CCGCATCTTTCTGCTTCTCCCGTGTGTCATAGTCTTCAAGAATCTCACTAAATACAAACAAATTCGCACTCGGGTTTCTTTAACTCCTTCCCAGCAGCCGTTCACCACGAGCACCTTGTTTTATCATAGGATCGTGGAGTATGTTGAGTTGGAAGGGATGCACAAGGATCGTTCAGTCCAGCTCCTGGCCCTGCACAGGACACCCCAACAATCCCAGCCTGTCCCTGAGATCTGTCCAAGCGCTGCTGCAGCTCTGGCAGCCTCGGGCCGTGCCCATTCCCTGGGGAGCCTGGGCAGTGCCCCACAGCTTCTGAGGGAAGAACCTTTCCTGCTCTCCAGCCCCACACTGACACAGCTCCAGCCGCTCCCTCGGCTCCTGTCCCGGTCACGGGAGTGAAGAGACCAATACCAGTCCATCATTTCCCACTCTGGCATTAGTCAATGGAATAACTTCCATGTGATCACAGCTTTGTTTATTTTTTTCTTCCTTTTTTTTTTTTCTTTTTTTTTTTTTTTTTTGTTAATTATCTAATTTACATAATAAAATTAATAAATATGACAGATAGGCTCCTCACCTATCCAACCAGGACAAATGAAAAACTAGTTTCAAGCCTCTGCTGCCGTGGATGTCACTTCTCTGTGAGCGACCTAAGTCAAGCTGAACTTTGTATTTAACCCTTTAGGAAAAATTATATCCTGTGTTTTGGGGGGAAAATAATGAATTATTATCATTATTTTAACAATTAAGTACACTTGTCATGAATGAACACCCCATAAAAACCTCAAAGAAATCCTTAAACATGTGGAGTAACACAAGTTCAGATTCATTCATTTAATTCATTTATCTATAAACTGTACTCTGAAGAATTTGGTACATTTTTGATGGTGGTTGAATTAATTACATTAATTTAAGCATGAGGTTTTGTGGTTTGGTTTGGTTTGTTTGGTTTTTTTTTTTTTCAATTAAAAAGGAGGCATTATTACTTTCCTATTGGATCTGCGATGTTGCTGAGAATGTTCCTCAGTGCTGCAGCCTGCTGTTCACTGTCAGCACAACATAAATATCCTGGATGCTCTCATGGGCTGTTTTTTGAGTGTTAATTCCAGGTTCTGGAGCCCTCAGCATCAAAAAGAGAAATGAAGGAGCAATGCAAACCAAGAAAAAGTGTGAACCTAAGTTTAAAAAGGGCATTTCTGTTATAAAAAGAGTAGTCTGAATATACTTCCAATTTCACAGAACTGTAAAAACGAATGTTTTAAAATATAGTGAAGAATTTAATTAAAAGAGACATAAAAATTGACAATACCATCTGCATTTTTCCTCCTCATTGTGAAAAGGAGCCCATTGGCCAGGAACACATATCCTGTGACTTTACTACTTTTTTATTTTAGATATGAAATGTAAAAATGAACTAATGTAGTATCTTGGATGAGTAGTAACGAGTAACAGTCACCACTCTGCCAAAGGGACCATTTGCTGCTGCTGTTGTGTTTTTTGAGGGCTTTGGGGTTGGTTTTTGGGTTTTGTTGGGGTTTTTTTTGGTTTTGTTTTTTTGTTTGTTTGTTTGTTTTGTTTTGTTTTGTTTTGTTTCTTTGATTGGTTAATGTTTTGTTTGGTTCGCTTCTGAAACAAGCCTTGTATAGAAGATGCCAGAAAGCACCACATCTCAAATTAACTCCAATCCTCTGTGATACATCCTGCCCACTCTGTACATATCCAAAAGCTGTGATTAACAATGAACAGTGAGGTTTTCCCTCTCAGAAACATCTGTCTTATGTCCTAGATCTCTGCTCCACAAAACAGCCTTTATAACTCATATTTATATGGATGAGTGTACAGCAGATGCACAGAGATGGCATATTAATTGGTATTTCAAAATTGGTACCTCTTATTTGAGCTGCAAATACTTTAAAATTTATATTTAATCCCTAAGAAGTCAGAGGAGGAGTCAGAAGCAGGAGTTATGATCTAGTTATGTTTATTTGTTTCATGGCATTACATTAATCCAATCCTGACTGATGTCTCTTGATGATTTTACAATTTAACTACAAAATCGTAACAGGGGATTGGCTCTGAGCTCTTATTCCTTGTGAGCAGAAATACTGATTTGCATTAATGAAATGCCTGGATCTGGCCAGAAACAGCGTTAGGAAAAAAGGAGAAAAGAAAAAATGGAGCCTTTTCTATCCTCATGCCCGTTTCAGAGAGACCTGGCAGACCGGGTTCTTTCCAGAACCAGCCTGGAGGGAAAGTCCTGATCAGCCATGGCAGATTGGTTCTGCTGCTGCCCCAGAGCTGTGCAGGACAGCCAGGAACAGCTGATGGATCAAACCTACCCAACACACCTCTGCACTCTGACACAGCAACCCAAGGTCTCCCAGACCGCCTCTCTCACGGGATACTGCCTGCCTTCATCCAGCCTGGGGGAATGCCTTTCTGCTAAATCGTCACGGAGCCTCAGCAACCGATTTAAAAATCACTGCAGAAAGCTTAATCTTCCCACAGAATCTCTTTTTTTTTTTATCTGCCACAGCAAGGGTGGTGGAGCTCCTCACCTTTCTGTATCCTGGCTGCCATACTTGACTCAACTTCCCTCCTACGATGATTCAGCTGAGACATGTCTAAATCTTGCCACGAGTTTACATAACTCCTTAGATATCTGACTTTCTGAGCGAAGAGAACTTTAATCCTAGCTCTTCATTCTCTCGGGCGCACCAATAACCTTCGGTGTGCGGTCCCGGTGTCAGCGGCTCCGCCGCAGCTCCGCATCTTCCTGGATACAGTGACCTCTCATGGACGGTGCCGGCGCTCGGCGAGCAAAGGACAGTTTTGTCTCAGCTGGGCGTGGGAGAAGAACAGCGGTAGCAACAACAACACACTTGTAACAAAATTCATGTTAGGCCCAAATAATTGTTGCCGTTACCACGTAATGTGCCACCCCAGCGTCTCATCTAACGGAGAAAGAGTATTGTGTGACATTCCTGACTTTGGAATATAAAATATATTTCAGACACAGAAAAATGTGTATTCACGCTGCACTGTAGCTGTGGTGTTCACCAGGCTGGTCAGCTGGAGGGTGGTGCTGAGCAGGAGAGGATCCGGCAGGCACAGAACGCTTTCCTTTCATTCCATTAGGTGTTAGAATGCCAAGCAGCCCTTTTGATGTCCTGGGGCTGCCCGCGGGCGAGGCCCCGGCGCCGGGCCCGCTCGGGCTGCGGGCGGCTGTGCTGCATTATGACACACTGCGGATGCGCCCACGTGCGGCTCCGCGGCGCCTGGGGACGGCAGCGGAGGCACACGCCAGCCCTGCGCCCCTTCCCCAGCGCGGCACCCGCTCCGGGCGCTCCGGACCCGCCACGGCCACTTGCTGAGGGGGTGGCCTCCTCTGGACAGGGCTGAGGCGTCCACTTCTTCCAGTAATTTCATTTTTAACGTTAATCGGGGATTTAGCACAGCCTGCTTTGCTGATTATGCTTTTTAAATTAAAAGGACTAATGTTTGTTTCAATTCATTGGGATTTACATTTCTGTATTCATCCACCTGTGATTAGCAAAGGTAGGAAAAAACAAAACAAAACAAAACAAAACAAATAAAATAAAATTAAAAAAAAAACCAAACCAAAACAAAACAAAAACACCCAGCCACCAAAAGTGGCAAAACTCTCATACCTGCCACTTATTTATTGTGAAGTTAGATTCTGAAAGACCATACCCATTTAAAGTCTGAGACCTCAACCATAAGGAGACCATGAAGAGAAAAAACATCTAAAGCAATATTTCACCAGGACACAGATTAGTAATTGCTTTCTTTTCCTTTACCGTTACTATTAATCTTCCTGATAAAAAGTACAGCCCTACCACAGAGCATAGTCCATGTGCAGAACAGATGGATTAACAGATTATTAGCATTAATCTAAAAGAAAACCCTCCCACCAACATATACTAAATTCTGATGGCTAAAGAGTTCTAGAGTTCTGGGGTTTTTCCCCATACTGTGCTCAATTTGCCTGGATATGGGAAGGACCCTCTGACACCTTCCCTCAGCTTAGAATGTGATGTGAGGGTCCCTCCAAGAGGGAAAAAAGGAGACTGACCTGACTACAGGACAATTCCTGTTCTTATCAATGACAAGTAGCACATCTGGGAAGCGGTTTTCCTTAATTAATTTTCTTTGAAAATGTTCAGGTTCT